AGTCCAGAAGCACTTGGTCCTGAACCTCCCTCGCCCTGTGGATGTCAGAAGTTGAAGGAGTAGCAGGGGAATGAAAAGCCCCCAGGGGGCCTCTCACCGCCCCCCCACCCCCATGCACAAATCCAGCACCTTCCCTGAGCCAGGCCCTAGGGGTGGGCCCTACAGCTGGGACCTAGAGCCAAAGAACCTGACCCCTGCCCTCAAGGAGCTCACAATTTCTCTAGTGGCAGAGGTGAGGATGGAGGGGGGTGGGATAAGAAGGGTCACATAACTGAAACAAAGCAGGGCTCCTGTCCCATCTCTGTCACTTACAAGCTAGATAACTATCTCATCACTTCTCATCACAGCAGCTGACAGAACTAGGCTGTGGGGACTGTGCCCATGAGAGTGGTCAGTCCACCAGGGAAGCAGAACAGAGATACAATGTTCAACCCTTAGATGCCTGTGCACCAAGGGCTCAGCCGAAGCAGGGCAATGCGGAAGGGCCATCGGAGACAAGGTCCCGGCACTCGGTCTGGCTCCATACAATTGGAGACTTCAGAAGAGTGGTTTTTACATTATCGAGCCTTCACAGTCTTTCAACAACAAGAAAGTTGAAAGTTGAACAAGATGCTCTATTGGGACTTTGCTAGCTGTGACATCTGAGGATGGTACAAAAAGAAAAGTGGATGCATGCATGCAGGGATGAATGTGATCTTTCTGAGGCAGAGTCAACCTGCTATCCTCAAGGTACTTTTATATACCCAGACCCAGAACATGGTCTAGAACAAAACAAGAGCCCAAGGAAAGGGAAACGAATAGGTGAGTGGACTAAGAGATGCATCGGTTTTACCCTTTCTCTTTATTTTAAACCTCTTCCTCTCCTTTTAAACACCATCTTATTACTTTCTCATGTTGAGTCCTTCTTTTATGTCTTTAGGCATTTGAAACCTACTTACCATATGGTCCTTTGCTCAATCCTTCTATTGTCTGGAGGGCTGGTGCACTCACTCTCATTTATGACTAGTGATTTCCTCTTATGCTTTCTAATTTGGGGCTATGAACTCAACTTTAGCAGGGCCTTATTAGTGGGAATCCATGTGACCAGTTTGAGGGGATGTCTCTTTAGAGAGAGTCCGTGTTTGTTCCTGCCTAGGATGCTTCAAGGCTAGTACCAACGCTGGACCACATTATTTGTTAATTTTATTTGGGCTTCCAAGACCATGCAAATGGTGTAAACTTGAACCCCAAATCCAGGTGAGGGAAGACCTTTGGTTATGAATTCTCACGGGAGATTTTCTATTGCCTCCAAGTCTCAGGATGAGGCAGAAAAGGTTCTTTTGTGCTCTCCGGGCTGATGGGAAGATTTTTTTCTAGCCTACTCTTTCACTGAGAGTGTCATCCTTTAAGAGACTGAGATTTTATTAGGGTCCTGAACCTCCCCCGCAGACAAGGCCTCATCCTCAATTTCTAGGCGGATGTAAAACTCAAGCCCTTTACTGCCGAGCTCTACAACCACCCGGCAGCTCACACAGCTCTGGTTTTCAATTTCCTCTTTGCATGTGGCTCCTGGGGATTCCCCTTACTTTCCTGAAACCCAGCTATGCATTTTAAAGGATGTTTGCTTGATTTTATGCAGCATTTCTAGATGTTTTGTGGTGGGAATGTGCTTGTCAGGTTATACCATTCACAATATCACACACACACACACACAAAAGACTATTTCCTCTATAAATGAATTCAAATCTCTCCCACCTTAAAACAACCAGCCAACCAACAACTAATTCTCCATCTTGCACCACATAACATGACCTCTCACCTCCTTCACAGACAAACTTCTGGAAAGAGCTGTCTGTTCTAGCAGTCCACATTTTCTCATCTCCCCATCACTCTGCGACCTGCTGCCGGCTCTTGTACATTTTCAGTACTCTATAGAAGCTGCTTTCACCAAAATCACGTCCCGCATATTTTAACCAAGGGGCATCATTCAGCCTCCTGTCGGCAGCATTCGATTTCATTCTTGACACATTCTCTTCCCTGCTTTCCATGACCCTACACATACCTGACTTGACTTCCCTTCCCTCTCTCTGGCCATCCTTTCTGTCTCTTTTGCTGGCTGCCTTCCTCAGAGGTCCATCCTGGACAGCTTTGCTCTCCCTTGACACACTCTTCCTGGGCAATCTCACTGATGCCATGGCTTCAATTGCTGTCTCATGCCCTAGTGACCCCCAAGTCTCCACCTCCAACTGTGGCAGATGTGGTCCTCCTATAGATATTCTCCCATTATTCTAAAGCAATAGTACCAGTAGGGAAGAAAATATAATTAACTAAAAGATTATTTCAGAACCAGTCCATGCCCATCCTTGGGTAGAATCAGTATTTGTCCCCAGGATAAAATCAGCTCCCTGCCCCCTCAAAAAATGCAGTGGTCATGAATTCACCTGCATAAAGAGGCCAAGCCGGAGACATAGGTGAGTTATGTGGATCAGGGGACAGAAGTGAGAAGAGACCACATGCCTGTCCATGGGAGTAGCTCCCATTCGGTGCTACCAATCGTGTCCATCCTTCTGACTTTTCAGCAGAAGCTAGAAATCCAGATTTCTAGGTAAAATCAACCAGAATGTTGACCATTCTTTACACACACACACACACACACACACACACACATCATACATATATATCATACATATATACCTATTTTTTAAATCTATCTGTAAAAACCAAATGAAGCAAGCCTGTGGGCTACATGTGACTCGAGAACGGTCAGTTGGAGAGCTCCTCTAAACAAACTTGAGCAAGAGCTCTTGAAGTGGGTGTGGATTTTCCCTCATTATCTTGGCCTTTGGTTTGAAGTGGGGCAGCCTGCTCTTAGAAGGTCTTAAATCAGGGTTTTCTCCATCTTCGCATTATTGACGTTTGGGCCAACCAATAATTCTTTTTTGCGGGGGACTTTCCTGTACACTATAGGATATTTAACAGCATCTCTGGCCTCTATCCACTAGGTGCCAGTAGCATCCTCTAGTTGTGACACTCACCAAATGTCACCTGGGTAGAGGGGAAGGGAACAAGAACCTCTGACCTAAGTGAAACATTTTAATGAATTAACACACCTGCCCACGGAGCTTGCAGCCTGTTCAGGTTAAGACTGCTGGGGAACCAGACCCTCTAAGCTGCCAGGGAGAACCACGTGGGCCTCCTCTTACTAATTTTCAGTGATGCCAAAAAGGAATAAGATGAAGAGACAAAACAACCAGCCCTGGAGGAATCAGATCGATAAGGTAATGTACTCATGAAACAAATAGAGGCTTCTAGGAAGGTTCCAATTGCAACTGGAGAACAAGAAAAAGTTCTGGAAATTACAAATATAATTGTCCAAATTAAAAAATTAATAAAAGGAAGGTATGGGAGGAAAGAATTTTTAAACATCTCTCAGGATGTAGAGCAAAATGACAAAGAAGTGGAAAATATGAAAGAAAAGTTAAGAGATGAAGGATCATTCCATTTAACATTCATCTAACAGGAGTTCCAGAGAAACCAGAGGGGAGGGAATGATCAAAGACTGTATTTAATTTAGAAAAACATTTCAAGTTGAGAAAAAAGGTCTGCAAAGCAGCCCTCACCTGGCTGCACACTGGAGTCACCCACAAAGCTCTTAGGGACGCGGACGTCGACACTCCCACTTCTCGCCAAGCTGGAGTGGCAGGGACCCGGTTTACCCTCCCACCTGAAACAGTCACCACCGCCACAACGACGCCAGACAAAATACGTGAAGCAACAGTTTTTAAAACACTGGACACCAGCAAAAGAATAATGAAAGCAATGAAATCCCAGAGAGAAAGGAAGACAATCAAGGCTTTTAGGGTGTCCAGCTTACTGCTTTGAGAATTTCCAACTGCAGATAGAGTTTGCAGGGGGAGTGAAGTGGGACCTGAGCTGAGAGAACAGAGCTGAGAATCCAGGGACACCACAGCAGCTAGAGTCTGGAGAACAAAACACAGCTGCCCAGAGAGAACCCCAAGATCTGCAGAAGGGCCCCCTCAAGTGTTCAGCAGAGAACTAATCAGCACACGTGCATGAGGAAACTACCCAAGGCCAGGGGAAGAAGGGATCATTGTCCATGGCTCACACAAGGCCAGGGCCTTTCCCACCAGACAGACTGGAAAATGTCACAGGGCACTGGGCAGAGTACTCAGGAAGTTCTCGGCCTAGCGGTGGGAAATAATTAACCTTGAGACTAAACACTGCTCTGAATCTGCCCAACAAATCATACAGATTACAAAAAATATCTGGTGTTCAACAAAATAAAATTCACAATGTCAGGAAAGCAATCAAAGAATACTACACATGCAAAGGGACAGGAAAACATGACCCACACTGAGGAAAATGATCAATCAATTGAAACCAACCCAGAAGTGACGCAAATGTTAGAATGAGCAGAGAAGGACATTGCAATAGCTATTCTAACTGTGTTCTGTATGTTTAAAAAGTTAGGTAGAGACAAAGATATAAAAATGATACAAATCAAATTTCTAGAAATGAAAATTATAATATCGGAGATGAAAAATACACTGCAGATAACAGATTAGACATTGTAGAAGAAAAGATTCATTAAGTTGAAGACATAGCAACAGAAATTATATAAAACAGAAAATTTTTTAAAAAATTAAAAGCACTTTAGTGAGCTGTAGTACAACCTCAAGCAGCCTAATATGTGAGAAACTGGAGTTGAAGGAGAAACATGGGAGCACAGAAAAAATATTTTAAGAACTAATAGCTGAACAACTGTGTTTTGTTCTCCAAATTCGATGAAAATTGTAAACCTGCATACCCAAGAGCTCACAAATCTCACACACAAGGCACGAGAGAATGCACCCACCAAAACAAGGGACAAAGCAAGAAAGAGGAAGACAGGGAATCCAGGAAACTAGGGATCAAACTCAAGAAAGACAGGAAGGAAGTCCCAGTAGATGGTGAAGGGTGTTCTCAAGGAGACAGCTATGCAGTAGGCCTGGAGAATAACCACTCCAGATAGAGGCAAGTCAGAAGGCTACAGAAAGATACCTTTAGGAAAATTAAGCCATTAGAAAATCTAATGTGTTCGAACGAATCGAGATATTTAAATCTCAAGGCAGAGTTTAGACTTGAATTAGGTATGCATACAAAGCAAACAAAACCACAAAGATGCTTTCCGTTGGTTAAAAAGCCACCAAATATAAAAAAGCAAGTGACTTGTGGATAACTCTTTGCTGGTGCTAAGACTTCTGAATCTTTTGGCTCGAAGAGAGGAAAAGGTTACCCATTGACTCACAAAACTAGAGATGTGTAAGAGGATCTCTTTGCCCCTAATCATTTTCTGGGCGTGTTGTGCTATTTCAGCTATCTAAAGAGCATTATGTACCTGAAATAAAGAAAGCCTGAATTGTCTGGGGTAAATCTGATGTGCACAGTGATTGATAGAGATGTTATTCACGGCCTCACGGCCAGCTTTTCTTTAGTGCTCTGTAGTTCTGTCTTACATGCTGAGCTACTTAGGGCCCCAGGAAGCAGGTCTTAATGTTATTAAGTAACTGCCAAAAAGGTCTATTACTCAGGAAATGATTGGAACAAAGTAGAAGGATGCTGAAACATTTATGGAATTTTACCTACCATATTGTCTTCAAGGGCTAGCGATAAATTAATGTTTCTGTTTGCACCACATAATATCACAGTGGGATTTTTTTTAAAGATCTAAAGTTGAATTGCTTTCAGATACAGTGTGGTTGGCTAATAATGTCTTGCCATTTTTAAATGCTTTCCGCTTTCACCGGCCGTGGCACTCTAAAACTCAGGTCCATTGAGTTCACTGACTGTCATCCTGGTTTGACCTCTTGCCTTCTTGGACCCTCTTGACTGAGTGTCCCAGTAGGTGGGTGGGTGGAGGCACAGCAAGAGGGACGGGTAGTGGAAGAGCTGTGTGTGGATGGGTTAGGTAGGTGAGAACTAGAATAAATAGAAGCTGTGTGGGTGGATAGGGTAGGAGGGTGGCCAGGAGGGTAGATGGAAGCGGGGTGAGCAGGGAGGTAAATGGAGAGGAGTAGATGAGTCAGTGAGTGAAGATGTGTCTTGGTCATCTCTGGAGTACACCGGGCCTTGAAAAGTCACAGAGATACCTTAGATAGTTGGATGGGAATGTGATAAGGGATTAAGCTGGAAAAGCAGGTGGAAGAAGAAACTGCTGCACATCCCTCCTCAGTTTTCATTCTTGAGCAGATGCTACATTTAGTATTCATAGCCTCCTTGGCTGTTATCTTTGGAACTTGGAAAGGGAGATGAAATCAGAGAATGGCCGGTGGTGGGATTGCGGTGCCCTCTTGTGGCCGTGAGTGGTTTTGACATTTGGTATTCTCAGGTATTTTTTTCATTGTCTATTCTTCCCACCCCATTGAACTCCTCCTCCACATTAGAATATAAACGTTTTGAGGACAAGGATTTCTGTCTGTTTATTCATTGATATGTATCCTGTGTCTAGAATAGTGCCTGGTGCATAGTAGGTGTTTAATCAATATTAATGGACTACGAGGCTGACACAGATTTCAAACTCTGCCCCACCACTCTATTGATATATCACCCTAATTTCTAACTTCATAAAGCCTCAGTTTCCTCATAGGTAAAATGAAGACACTAACATCCACCCCTCATGAACATTAATTGAGGGAAA